GTCGTCGTGATCTGCGAATAAACAAAATCAGTAAACAAATAATAATAATAAAAACATCTAACTCCAAATTCCAGGAGGGCAAACTTTACGCAGCACGTCATACTTCGGTAAATTTACACAGATATTAGAACGGCTGTTCTTTACCTCTCAGTGTGTGTATATTGTGTGTGTGTGTGCGTGTGTGTGCGCGTGTGTGTTTCCTCTGCTCCTTTTGAGCCATTGTGCTTAACTGAATTTTATAACGCTGATCGATATCTTGGTAAAATATTCATTTTTAAACTAGCGGGCAGTGAAATCTTTGCTTTGTGCTAAAGTCAACAGTCGCTCCAATAAATGCAGCGATGCCTTTCCGCGGAATTGCAGACGGTGAGGTATCTGGCTTGTCATCGCCTCTGCGATCTGCAGCTCTCTGGCATCAGGTAGGGATTTATCGTGGTTTTTAATTGGGGGCATTGTTGTACAAGGAGGAGAACCGTATTTGCTTCCTACTTACTGCTGCTTCCCACTCAGAATCGGGCCCAGAGGAAGAAGGCAACAGCCTCCCCCCCCACCCAAAAAAAAAACTTTCCAGGAAGAAAAGGGTTCCAGTCGAGCTGGTTTAGGGCAGAAACGAATCTGGGCGTCTTTCCCTGTGGTTCCGACCAGCCTTCCTCCTCTCACACACGGGCGCGGACAGGTGCCCAGGGCACAGCACAGGAATGCTGCTCGGTGGCGGCTGGGGCAGGAGCGAAGGAGCGAATTCTCCGCGGCGGCTTCAGCGGCTGCTTTCTTTCTCGAAGACTTTCGCGCAGCTAACTAAGGGAGCGCTGCGGGCCGTGCGGGGGAGGGAGTGACAGCGGGTTTAGGCTATGCAGCGTTACCCAAGAGTAGGGACCAGTAAGCCTAATAGTCTTCCTGGAGCCGTTGTCTGGCTACTGGAAAGAAAACAAAACGTTGGCCTAGCTGAGCGTTTTGTCCTGGTGCAGCCAGCTGTCTTAACAGTAGCAGATTTGACTACTGCAGAGCTGGGCTTGAATTATTCTAAATCTCCCCCCACCCCCGTTTATGTTTGTAACAGCTGGACAATAGTGGCTTTTAGCTATCCTTTTGTTCTTGCAATAGGTACTAGATAACGCTCTCCTCTAGGCATACATACCAACACTGCCTGGATTTTCCTTTTCCTTCTTTTGTTAAAGTTCAAAAGAAACGAGGAAACACAACTGTACACAGGTTTACCCACTGAACGCAATGCCACTTCCTTCCAGGTAAACACAGAACTATCCCAAAATATTAACTTTAATTGGTTTTCTTCATTAAATTATTTTTAACAAAAAATGTGGTGACATTGAATGGACTGGAATGGACAAGACAGCTCCTTTTTATGCCTGCAACAGAGAAGGTGACCTTCTCATCTGGAGAACTTTTTTTGTGAAAACCTACTGCAGAATGGGTAGGAGTCATGCAAGAATGTGGGAACCATTTCCCACTTGTCACTTCCTAGGACAGCCCCAGAGTTTTCAGAAGAATCATCTGGCATGCAATCTAAATGTTAGATCCCCCCGAACGTGTTAGAATACAAGTACTGTTCCCAGCTAGCAAGAACAATTCCATTCCTAAATTACTTATAACATCTAGCTCTACAGTGGTTTAAAAACAGGTGATGTCTGATTGTTTTTTCACTCTGCCTTGAAATTCTTTCTCTCAATACTGCCCAAAGTGTGAAGGGCACTCATTCCATCATCAAAGCAACATGTGTATTGAAGTGCTTTAATCTTGCAGGAAAGGGCAAGATCCAGCTGAAATCACTCACCTCCCCACCCCACTGGCTTCCAGTGAAATCTGCTGAAGTCAATGGAACTCAAAGGTTATTAATTTTATTTCAGTTGATTGTTTCTTAGTCATACAAATTTATTTTGTCCCCAGGTGATCCATGCATATTGTATTATTATTAAAGTTTCCTATTGTAGGGATGGAAGATGGGTGATTTCACACAAAGTTGATCCCTGGGTTGTTGGCTGAGAATCTGAATGATTTGCAGTGAACGTTAGAAAGATCGTATGATGCAACAAGAACTTTGGATCTGAACATTTGCATCAAAGACCAAGGAAGTTGTGTTTGGCAAAGAAAATTAATTTGACAATTGCAAGTTATGCATGAACAGTGAAAAACTAGAGCAAGTAGATGTATTTTCATATCTTGGTGGGATGTTTATAATACATGAGAAATTGGGTGAAAAAAAATTAAGATATGCAAATACTGGCAGAAGGATAGAGTATGTCATCTGCTGAATGTTTGTTGAAAGAAGTGAAAATAGTTGTATGCAAGACTGAGCTTTTGTCCATTTTGTTTTATAGAAGTAAGAATCGGATATATCAACAGAAGCATAAAAAGAAGTTAAATGCAGTGAAATGAGGTACTTAAAAAGTGTATGGTAAAACAAGGCGAGATAGAGTTGAAAATGAATGAGTGCTGAATGAATGTGGGCTGAATACAAAAGTGAGTGACCAGCATGAAAGAAGTAGATTGAGGTGGTTTGGTCACACAGAGAGAATAAAAGAGGACGAAATCAAAATCAAAATACAAAAGAAAAATAAACAGGTTGAGAAGGGATGACCAAGACAGTAGCAGTTGGATGGAGCTTATGAGACTCTGCAAAAGAGAGAGATGAAAAGTTTTAAGAACAAAAGGCAATGTAGGAAGTACTGTATGGACTGGAAAAACAAGGATGGGTTGCTTGTATGGACAGTGAATGGTGTAATCAACTTGATTTAGCTGTATTTCTTTTTCTTTAATTTCTTTGGGTTATTTCTTATTCCCTTTCTACATTTTGTGTAATGCAATGTGTGTGTGTGTGTGATATTCTGCATTACACAAAATGCAGAACACACACACACACACGCACCTTATTTCTTATTCCCTTTCTGCATAGATGTATGTATGTATTTATGTAGTATGTATGGAATAAAGCAGAACCATAGGGATCCCCCTTGTCTAGGGTCCATACCCTGCAGTGGCCAAAATCAAAGCAAAACTACCCTCCCTCCATTCTAGATATGATTCTCATGCTGCTTCTGGGTGAAATTATCTTTTGGTGGTAATTTTACCATTTGCAAAAGGAATTAACAGCAAGCCATAAACAGGCCTCCTTGCTTAATTAGAATCTCGATTTCCTGGGTATATTTCATGCCTCGCCGACTTCGACCTTTAAAGTATCTCCCCTACGTTTTTCTCCAGACTAAAGAATCATGTCGCATTTTTCGGGGGGCGTGGGGGGCGGAGGAGAAACCTTAGAAAGGGCAGGAGATCCGCCTGGGTTCCTCCGATGGCTAAAGAGAGCGCAGGACCTTCTCCTCGGGACCCGGCTGCGTGTGAGGTCTGCCTCGGAGGGCAGGCTCTTAAGAGCCTTCGCGTCCCTCCAGATTGGGCCTGAAGAGGAAAAGGGCGGGGGATTTCCTCATCTGATTTCCCCTCCATCTAAATTGACGCGACAGCTTATATTTCCCCAGCAAGATGAGATCGCTGCAGGACACACACCGAGGCTAATGGTTTTTCAATAATTAATACTGTCCCCGTCACTGGTAATGCGGCCTCTCGGATTTGTCAATTACTTGTCATTAAACGAATGTCTACCCACGTCCTTGCTTAGGTGGTGGAGCGAAGGAAGGAAAACAGCTCGCGCCTCATCTGGCTCAGCAGGGGAAGGCCCGCCCAGCGGCTGCGAGGCTCAGGCGAGATTCCCGCAGGAGCCCAGTCCGCCAGCAAACTCCCCAGGAGATTTTATCGGCCAAGTGGGTAATTGGGGGCTTCCTTATCCTTCGGCCTCTTCGACATGCCATGGATTTTTGCTCGACTGTTTGATTGGAAGAAGACAAGCCAACAAGCACACAAACAATGAGCAGGCGAGGCGCCCCAGGAAGCCATCGCTACTTTGAACTAAAGTTGCCAACTCCTTTTATATTTGCTGCTCCTGCGCCTTTAGCAATGCCGAGGAAGGCAGGCTTTCCATCGCCACCATGGCGATTAGGTGACGCCATGAGATCTGTACACCATCAGAGAAGTAAGAACCCAAGAAAAATGCAGCGGCTGTCGCTTTTCCCGCCCTCCAGTTTAGGGTCACCTGCTGTGATTTACCCTATCCAGGCACTGGTAAAGCGGCGGCAGCCGCGGCAGGAAAGTGGCAATCCTATATTTACGCTACCCGAATGATAAAAGTTGCCTCGAGGTCCTCTTTCAGCGGGTTCAGCAGCTCTTCCCCTTTACAGGAGCAGATGGCAAACACACCTATCCCATAAGAGCATGCGCAGAAGGTCATCCTTCCCGCCACCGGGTCTTTGCAGTCCCGGTCCTTCGGCCTCGGGAAACACCGCTAGCCGGGGCTGCAAAGGAGCGTGGCTCTTCCCCAGGTCCCGGGAGTCCTCGGCTCCAAGGAGCTTGGCCGGGGCGGGGCCCCGGCTCCCAGGCCTCCCTTGCAAGTAAGAGACAAAGCGAGCAGCTGCACCTAACCGCGCAGCTTTGCTCAAGCCACAGGGACCGGCCTGCCCTCAACGACGCCAGGCGGCCTGGCGCGCCCGTTCCGGATTCAGCGGCCGGAAAGACAGCTAAGCCTCTCGGCGGCCGCATCCGCGCGTCCGGGTGGCGATCCGGGAACCCTCGCGCCTGGACCGCTGCAGGCCCCTTCGAAGTGCTGCTTTCTCTTTTTGGCGGGCTCATGCTCCAAGCTTAGAGCCGCAGCTGCGGAGAGTCGCCGGGAAGGCGGGGGGAGCTCGCGTGGAAGCCTTTTTTCGGCGCAAGGGGAGGCCGCCGGCCAAAGGACCTCGTGCAGCAGCCCAGAGGCGGGGCGCCCTTGCTGGCGAAGACCACCCGCCCCCGAGGCGCCTTCTGCTTCTTGCCCGGCGACCGCGGGTGACTCCCCGCCCTCTCGCTTGTGCGCTACCACGGCGACTGTTCCTCATTGTCCGCACTGCCCGTCGGCGTTTGCTTTCCCTCTCGGTCTGGTCGGGCCTGTTTGGTATCTTACGGCAAGGCCCTCGCATTTCCCCCTTTTCTCTTTGGGGCGAAATCTCTCTGCTCTGGTAGAACCTCTTTTAACTGCGGGGCTTGGGAAGACTTCGGAAGCGTAAAGAATTCACAGGCGCGGAGAAATGGGAAAGGCGCTGGGCTGTCCCGCGAGCCCGTCCACAAATCTATGGGCAGTCAGGCTACTGCCACCTGCGAGACAGAAAATGTCTGAAGGATGTGGAGGAGGGAGCATCAGAGCGATGCTACAGTTCTAAAAAATAAAACAGCCAGAATATAGGGCTACTGCAGAAGGAAATGAGCTGGTCGCTAGGATTCGTGTGGCTGCGGGGGATGGTAGTGGAAAATCGCAGCTCTCTTGAGTTATGCAGCACTGGGATGATTTCTCTCTCGCTTTCAATTTCTCTTTCTCTTTATTCACCCAGATACGGAGCCTTGTTCCAAAGGCAACGTTGTCCAAAGAGGAGGCCTGGAGCAGAAACAAATAATAACCTCCCCCTCCCTGAGCCAGGCTATGTATATTCGGTCAGTTAAGAATAGAGCCGCTGCTTGCTTCTCTGTCCCGAATTCCTCCATTCAGAGTTGCAACAGAAGGGCAGAAATCATCTAATTGTGCGCCCTTGTTTTCTCCTCGTCTTTTCCCCCTTTACTTCCCTTCCCTTCCCAAAAAATCCCGCCCCACCCCCTTCTCTGTTGTGAGCCTGGTAATGACATGCAAGGACCGGCTGAAAGACAACCAGACATCAAAGCACAAAGCAAATGACATTTCCCCCACGTTGATAAGAAAGTCACACTCCGAACTTTCTTTTCCTTCTTAAAAGGGACTCCGCCATCCGAAAAGGTGGCATTTGGGGGTCATGTTATGCAGGTTGTGTAGGTTCTGCACAATCCCATTTATAAAGAGACCGTGTCCAGCAGGACCTCAGAAATGTAAGGAATTTGGGGACCAAACAACATTTATTGGGGATAAGAGAGCGTATGTCTATGTGTGTGGGGAGGGGGGCGGGCAGGCGGGTGGAGAAGACACACATTTGGAGCTGAGATGGGACTAATTATCGAGATAGAGAACAAGGAGCTGGAACACCCAAGTCGAAGTGAGCTCGTCTCCCGGGAGACTGATGGAGACCTATTTTACAAGCTGTAATTCCGCTTTAGATGCTTGCAAACTAAAGTCAATTCACACCCTCTTCTTTATTCTAGAAATATTCCTAATCCTGCAGTTCAAGCGGGAATCCTCTGGCTTCTTCCCTCCTAATATTAATCTAGAAACTTCATGAAAGGAGGCTTGATTACGGGAGGGTGGAATCACTTTCCTTCCCAGTTTAACTACCTCGGCAACGTCTAACCTTCCGATGAATAGATATTAAACATGGAGAAACATCCTGCGCAGTTCTATGGTCTCTTGATCTGTTATCCGTTTGACAGGGTCATAGCCAATTAACAGTGTGGGGAACCCCTCATATATTTAAAACAAAAGCAAAGTGAGAACACTGCTTTTGATTCCAGCATTTTTCAGGCAGTACTTTGGAGTGAACACTTGGACATTTTCCTTTGATTTTGTCTTAATGCTTTATTTATATTTATATAAAGTAAAGTAAAATGGAATGATTCATGTGGATGCAACTAATGTAAAAAATGAATACATCTTTTTTATTGCCAAGACCTAGACTGCTTTACAGTACATTGCAGTAGGTTCTGTGGACAGCTGGTTAAGTAATCTGATCATATCTATGCTCACTTAAAAGTAAGCATCCTTGTTTTCAGCTGTAAATATAGTTACAAGACTTGAACTCTTAGTTGGGTATAGTTTTTAGGTTGGAGTTGTGTACCTTTGTACTGCATTGCTATTTTTGATTAACAAAATCAACAAAAAGAAGTGACATTCATGTTGTTTAGAAAATAATCAAAATGCTTGCCTTCTTTTAGAATCTTTAGCCTTCCTCTGATGGTTTAAGCCTTGCCACAGCATAAATAGGCAATTTAATTTCATTGATACTTATGGACAGTTGGCTTAGTTAATTTGATAAGACAGAAAATAATGATAAATGAAAGAGTACGCATGCAAGTATGTATTCAGAAATCAGCAGATCTGCATCTCTTATTTTTTAATACAACAAAAATAAAATACTTGGCCAGAAACAATAATTGAGGAGTACACACAGTATGAGTTCTAAAGGCGGGGGCAGCATTTGATTACATCGGGGTATTGACATCTTCATTCTATTTTCCAAATCTTTGATAGGTTAACATGTAAATAGGAAAAGTAGAAAATCATTCTCTCTCAGAAATGAGGCCATACCAAACCAGCCCTTAACTAATAGAGACCATTCCATTTTTTAAATAGAAGTAATAAAAGTTTTCTCTTCTATGGGGCTTTATTTTTCATCTCTCCTTCTCTCTCCAGCCTTGCATCTTTCCTTTAATTTGTTGCCAGTTCTTCAACCACTAGAGATATGCCTCTAGCAACAGCTTGATCTAGAGCAAGCTATTAATCTCTCTCTTTGCTGCAGATCACACTGCTGTTAAAGGCACAGCTGCAGAGTTCAGCTGAAGAGTTGGTGGTGGGAATCCCAGGCCCATGTGAGATTAAATGTTGATGACCCTTCCAAATCCAGGTTTTTGGATTAAGAGTAGCAGGCAACATATTAACTCAGAAGTTCAACCATATATATAAACGATATGTAAAGTCTTATAATTAACTTTCCTGCTTCACAATGAATAATTGACTCACCACAAGGATTCTGGATTCAATTTTGTAAGGTCTCCCTTTGCCATGTTGTCCATTTGTACTACAACTATATGCTTCTGAACTATATTACCTGAATTAATTTGGAAGAATATTCCACAAAAATCAGTAAACATTTCTAAGTAATACTTTAAAATTAAGCCAACTATGCCAACTTTCTTACCTGTAAAATAGAATTCATCCAATATGTTTGTTCCCATAATTGCTTTCTTACCATATTTCCTACATGCACAGAACACTGGCAGCAATCCAAAGTCCATTTATCTGGGATTAAACCTTACTGATCTCAATGGGACTTGTTTTTGAATAAATATGCCTGGGATCCCTTTTCGCTGGAAAATCTTAACTTTTCCCATAATCTAAAACTCCAAGGTTGGTGTGGGAAAGGAAGAGATGCCAGCCACAAATGGAGGTCTGACATAGATTTAAGAGCCCAGATTTGTTTCAGAGGTCAACAAAGTAATCATCAACAGCCCCTTTGTGTTTAACAGGATTACTTAAAGCTTGAACAGGAGTGAAGTCTAGATTATAGTGGCATTGTAGCCGAAACTGGCATAGCAAAAAAACTGTGGCATCTTAAATGCTAACACAATGACAATAAGATGAGCTTTCATGGATGGACCAAAGCTCTTTTTGTTAGATGTATGAGATATCATCCCAAATTGGCATGTGGGACTATCTGAGCGTAGAAGGAAAAAGAGTGTAACAGCAGTGAAATCGAACAGGAATGATATGCAAGAAATGCATGCAGTGAGAATTATGTTAATTATTATATTGGTGTAAAATACAGCCAAAAAGATGATTGAACTAAAAGAGACATATATGTTTATTGAGACTTATGTGGCTGCCAATTAAATAAGTGGGCATAATACTTTGTAATCTGATGTCCAGCATTATTGCTACTATAATTTTATTTCCAGTTACTGAGATCAAGGGGAAAATGCACCTACTTTTGAATCTTTAAAGCGTTCTTTATTTCCTCAAGTGTATGCCTTGCCGTTTCTGGATTTTTCTCTTTTCTTCCAGTTCTTTCCAACCTGGATGGGAAAATACCAGCTGCTAGGAATTACCTGGTGTTCTGGGTGCTTTAAGAGGCTGATCACTTCACAGTGTGTCCAATCAAAAGTCTGTGGGCCTGCAGACAATTTTCAGGACAGCCAGGCACAACTCAGGGAAGAAGGGCAAGGCAATTATTTAAAAACAGTTTAGATAAAGGCATGGAATCAAGAGGTTTGGGTAGCTGGAAAATAGCATTTGATAGAAAATGTTTTTGTCTTCATAACTATTGTCTTAGAAGCATCTTTTTCTTTTATATAAGCAATTAGCCAGATTTTTTGATGCAGGTGTGGTAAGTGAAAGCCAAGGAGCTAAGGGGAGGTTTGAGTACTTCAGTAAAATAGGTTTTTAAAGAAAAGCATAAGCAATCTTTAGTTCTAAGAGTTTCAAAATATAATTATTTCTTTTAAGATCACACCCACCATAAACCTGCCAAATGATGATTGAGCAGCATGACCCTTCAGATATGGGGTTCCAATTTCCACTGATCCCTCCAACAAAGTCTGGATTCTCCATCCCAGGAGAATTCTCATCCTAATTCCTTATTCATAGGAACATTCAAAAGGCTGCTCAATTAGTAGATATAAATCTAAAGTTTATATAATGTTGGGCTTAAAATGCATATTATATGTCTTTGCAACTTTTGCCCTTCAAGATAGACAATAATTCAATGTAACCATTTGCAGTTTTCTAATGTCTACCATCACATATCAAGAAATCCTCTCCCACTTAAATAGACTCTTCTGAAAAATGGTGACTTAGGCATGGGCACAGGGATCTGTGTTCCAAGAATTTAAGGATGATGCGCTGGGTAATACTCTTATTTCCGCAAGAGAGTCTCATTACTGCATCTCTCTCAAACCTGCAAGGTTGCCTTTGGACAAGCCATAGATAGGCCAGGTCTGAATCCAACGTTCTTGAGCATAATCCCTCATGTCAGTTCTGCAGGGGTCACTGATTGTGCATTTGGGTTGCACTAGTAATTTAGAGACTGAAATATTTGAGGAGAGAAAGAACTTGATAGGTCAAGCTGTGACCTCCCAACTGTGTTTGTGAACCTAATTGGAAGTAAACAAGATGTGGGTTGCAGTTAAGGAGAGCAGACTGAATTCTTTCCAGTACTTAACGAGGCTGCAGGCCTAACCTTACCTTGGAGTAAGTGCCATTGAGCGAGTCGACCAGCCTGCGATGGTCCCCCAAGGAGGGATCGCCGCACGCCACCTTTTCCGGCCCTTGGCAAGAGTTTCCCTGCCCCCGGCCGCGAAAGACTCCCCTTTCACCGCGGATCAACCAATGAAACCTGCCCCAAGGCCCAAAATAAGACGCCGAGCCTGCCTTCGTGCCATCAAGCTGCTGGAAGCCATTTATCTCAGGTGCCTTTAACCTGTAGTCAAAACGTGCTGCCAGACTCATTTAGGGAGGTCAGCTCGGTAACCTGAGATGAGGCTCCACTGATGGTTGAGAGCGCCCTTCAGATTCCACCCTTGCTTGGTAAACAAGGCCGAGGAACTGCCCTCCCTGCCTTCCGCCCCACGGAGCCACTTGCAGCGAGCGAGCACCTCGCCTTATCTCGGAGGTCGCGCCTTCTTCAGCGTCTCGGGCGAATTCCTAGGCACCGGCGGGGGAGGGAGGCAGGGACGCGAGAGAAGAAGCGAGGCGGCGGGCCCGGAGCCCTGGCGGATGGCCGTCCCTGAAGTTCCGGAGGTCTTGAGCTGGCTCTTGCAAGATGGCTGAGCAGGCCATCTTGCAAAAGAAGCGCTTAGCGGGTGCCGGCGCCTGCGGGCCTGTGGAGCCGCGCGTACCTGGATCCGGAGAAGCCGGCGAAATTGAGCTGCGATCCCAAGGATTTAGGCTTGGCCCAACTTTGCCAGCCTAAATTACAAGAATATGAATTCATTTTACTTCTGCCCGGACCGCCCTGTATTTTGCGAAGGCTTAATACTAATTAAGGCTGTTAATCGATTGAAGAGTTTGTAATGGATTAATCCCCAGCGTTTAAATCTATACATTATAGTCTTATATCTAGAAACATTTGCAAACTACCCAAACATCAGTTAAGATGGCTTTGAGATGATAATTAATGGTGCAACCTCATCAGTGTAGATTTGGTTATTGGAAATAATGTCACCTTGAACTGAGAATTTCTCAACAGGCATGCTACACAAAGAAAATATAACACTCTTTAAAAAATGGCTTCCCATTTTTAATATTTTTTAGATCTTCCTGGACAAGTTCAGTAATCTTCCTCACCCAATGTCAGCAGACCCAGGTCCCACTGAATGCAGGGTGGCCAGGTTTAGACAACAGAGATGCCACTGCCATCCTAGGAAATCAGGCTGGCTTCATGGTCTGTTAGGACAGATGCTGAACCAGGGGTTTGCCTCACGGTTATCTTTGGTGCTTGAGGCTTCCCTTCTGTTGATATGAAAGGATGATGGTGAAGATGTTCCTATGGCATCTTGGAGAGGGGCAAGAGGGATTGAGACCCAAATGTTTTTCTGGGTCAGTGCTTTTGATGAGGCATGGTCTGGCAGAATCCAGTGGCTCTCTACAACAAAGACCTTTGATTCACTACTGGAAGGAAATTCCCAGCCTTGAGTCTTGCCTTCCAATGCAAAAGAAAATGAATTGGAGTCCTGAGGAGCAAAAGTGAAGCAGAAACTTGGAATGAGAAAAGAAAGATAAGGGGAAAGGATGGATGATCAGTGCTCATCTTTTTGCAGTAGAAGAGTACTCTGTTGACAGCAGAAAAGCCATGGTGTTTAATTCCTGTGGTATCACAGGCTGAACTATTTTGATAAAGTAATTGATGGGAGACTAATGACAGAAATACTGACTATGGAATTCAGTCACACTGACTGAAATGAATAAGAGATTCACAATCCAATCTCTAGTTTGGCACTGGATTGATTCATACATTACATGAAGCCATGGTAGAATATTTTAGTTTTCTGAATAAGCCATAGTGGCTAGATTCACCCCATGCACAAATCACCTGATGGCTTAGGGTGGTGATATGTGAACCCAGTCAGAGAGTGACACAAGGTTGCAATAGACCAACTAGTAGCCCAATTAGCTCAGTGGGGCTTCCATATATCTGTAGACTCTCCAGAGTTTCAGACAAGACTCTGACGCTGAAGAGTGAGCCCAGGACTGTGCCAAGCATCTCCTCCCCAAAGAGATTTGCATTAAAATTGCTTTAAGATGCCTTCTAAATAAATGCACATCAGGGTCAGCCCTGTGAATCCCTAAGAAGGGCTTTTTGTGTTTGCAGATGTGGCAATGGGGAAGAAGGCTGCCCCATTTCCCAGATGATGGAACTACAAGGCTTAAGCTTGGTTCCAAGTTGGAAAAGTCTCCATCTGGCATGATCTGATGTGAAGGAAGATCACAGATGTAAAAGCTTTGAAGCAAGTTACATACATGCAGCTCCTGATAATCCTAAAGGCAGTCATAAGAGCAGCTGCCCTTACTGAGAACCCACATTCTGACCTCCACACCACCTCTACCACTGGTCTTTCCTGACACTCAAAAGTCACACCTCCCCAAAATGGCCAACAGAAACCAAATCTCAACCACCAGGCTCCTTCCTTCCCCTTTCAAGATCCTTCTTCATGCAGTGTTGTTAGGGGGAATCCTGTGGCCAGACTCAGCTAGTTCAACTCTTCCCCCAGTATCTTGATGCTGTTCCAAGTGCTTTGCTGGGTGAGGGTTGGGAAAGATGGCTACTGTTGATGGAGGGCCCCAGAGTTGGCTGGTTAGTTGTGGTGATGTTAGGGGACTATTGGGCAGTGTTACAGCTGACTGCATGTGTTAGTGCCATTACCTGGCTGGAACACCAGATATTGCCTACTAATCTGAAGACCTACCTATGGTCAAAAAGCAGATACTTAGAAAGCTAACCTCTGCCACTAGCTCAAAGTCAGAAGGGAGGCTGGATGCTAGCATATGCCAGCCCAGCCCTAGTCTAAAGACCACTATTTTGAAGGGCTTTGAGGGACTTGAGAGAAAGACACGTCTTGGTTCAGGGGAATATACTTTTGTTTTCCAAAACTATTTCCAGGAGAAGCTTATCAATAGCACTGTCTGAGACACCTGGTTCAACTTCTCAGAAAAAGCCTATTTGTTACTGGTTCAAGACTAGGGAATGCAGTGAGGCAGTGACAAAAAGGCTCAATGTTTACTGTAGAAACCAAGCATGAAATTGAATGTTAACTATTTCAGAAAAAAAAATGCAAATCCAATTGAAAACAAAGAGGCAAGAACGATTTAGAGGTATCAGCTTATGAAGCTCCAGTCGAAATGTATTATTGAAGTTTTGCCTGTGGGATTTTGAAAAGACAGTTTTACAAAGCAGGCGCAGCCAGAAGAAATGTGAACTTAAATAATCCATAAAAAAGAAAGAACATTGCATGTTTCAAATAACGCACACTGAAGTCTCTTGACTTAACTAAGTGAAACGGAGGATCTTGTTAACTCTTTCACTTACATATCAATAGGGCAGGATTTTTTTCTGTGACATTAAATAAAGTTTGAAGAGATCACCAAGAGATGCAAATGAAAAAGTCTCCTGGCATCTTAAAAGAATAACGTATTCATCACTGCCTAAGTCGGAGGCCATTTTATTTGGTCAAATACCCAATCTGATGAAGTGGACTCCAGGATCAGATACAGGTAGCAAGCATCCTTTCATTGCTGGCGGATTTACTAACTGTGGCTGCTAATCTATCTACCCAATGTGGAAAACTGACAACATATGCCTTATTTCTGAATAAACATGAATAAGACCAAGTTGCATATTATTTTCAGTTTTTAGTAGTTCTCATTTAGTATTGTTAAGTTGCGCCATTTTGGATCAGCTCTTCCCTCTAAAGCTTGTTTCAGTTGAAGTGTTGCTTGTCAAGCCAATATTGGTATCTGTTATACTATTTCAGTGGCACAGAGATGTCCTAATGCTTGGAGTGCCAAAATGGCCTGTTATTCTTTATGAACCTGTACAGTAAGGAGCATTGTACCAGCTATTGTCTCAACATATATCAATGTTCTAAAAACAGAAAGATAACTAAAATTTAGGACAGCCAGTAAGGAAACTTGCTTTCCAATAAATCATACAACCAACAATTTAGAGATTGGGGATCACTCTAATTATGATGTTGACGGGATTTGTGTGTGTGTGTGTAAGCATTGCTCAAGATCACCTTTCCTTAACAATCCGACCAATGTGCAAGTTAATTTGATAAAGGTTCACTAATGTATTGTCTTCCTCCTCCAGCCTCCATATAACTAGCAGGGTGCTTAACATTGGATCATGCTTGCTTCTTGGATTGTGAGGATAGTACCTTATACAGTACAGTACTTATGTAGGAACAATCCTCATTGAATTTACTAGGGGGCAAATTACTTCTGGGCGGATATACATAGGGGCATGCTGTATATTCTGTTGATTTCAGTGGGTCTTTTTAGAGGGGATGCCCTTGGGATCTTCAGGAATTCCTTGTATTTATTGTGATGAATAATTTCCCTAAAACATTATTTCATGTTGAAATAATTAGTTATTGAATCCTTCCCTCATTTAATGACTATATTTTTAATAAAAATTTCTTTGAGAGATACTTAAATTCAAACAGGTTTGGATCCATATAATATCCATTTAGTTTCAATATAAGATTAATTCAGTCCTTAAGCTTATCATTAAATGTAGACCACATAAAAACATATTGCTTCATCCTCTCTTTTTAAGAATATGAAGAATTAAAAATGCAGATAACAGTCATCAAGTCCCTGCTGTAATCCCATGTAGTTCTGAATGTCTAAACTTTGAGAAAGAGGAAGGACATGAAAGATGATGGAGAAAAAAGAAAAACGGTCACAAATTAAATATAATTGTAAGAAAGCAGTTATATACAATATATAGAGGATTGAGTTTATACACTGTTGTATACAAATACTAGTTCTGAATGAAGAGAGTACTCTTTCTATAGAGAAGGCATATGCATGTACTTAATTACTAACATTTGTAATTTGCCCTGCTCCCCAGATTCTGACATACATGCCAGAACAGCTGCAGTTTTAGAAGGAACACTTCCTTGGGGATAGCATCTGACATCCATGAATTTCTGAAGGTGCTTGGATTAAAGATAATTATGACCTAAAAGAAATAGCTTATTAAAACAGCAACAACAATTTAGCACTGGCAGCCAACAGCTCTCTAGGACTTCAGGCCTGGTTTTTTCCCCCCATGCCTGCCTGAAGATGCCAGAATGAAACCAGGGACTTCTGCAAAAGTTTCCTGGGGCTGCCCAAAAGCATTAGCCAGTTCTTATGCAGCACCCCTTTTATTTCAGTTTAGGTTTCAGCACAATACATCTAGAAGAAGACTGGCTGTTGTGTGTGCCTGGGATCAAGGCACTTGTCACATGCTACAGCAGGAGAGCACCTCCCCCAGTTACCAGAATCTGGACTTTTCACTTGGCAATCAGTATAGCTAATTCAGTTAAATAGTGTCCATTCACCCCACCCACCCCTGGGTTCTCTCTGATTTCTCTTTAACTGTTCTCAGGAGACTTAGCCTCAAGTATCTTAACTGGTGACAGTGATTTATAGCTGAATTTAATTTAATTTATCTATCAAATTAGATTGAGTGGCACTGTTAATCTTTTACACAGTGTTTTATATGTTAGATTTTTATGACCTCTTCTTACTGATAGGAGGAACAAGGAGATCTGTCTCTTGTCTGGGCTTTGACACTTGAGACTGCAAGCAATGCCTCAGGCATTTGGTATCTACTAACTTGGCCCACTTTTTTTAAAAAAAGTTATTTGATTATACTAAACTAAAAATATAAATACATATGTTATAAAAGGAGCAACACATCTCAGAACTGATAAGCTTAGGAATCTTTAAAGGACTTAGCAATTTTAAAAGGAAAAGAGGGGCTGGAAATTATAAATAGAACTCCAAAAATGTTATAGTGTTTGAAAGCCTTGTCTCTTAGTTGAAAACATTAATTCACATAACATATTAACAATCCATTGCTACAAATCACATGTAGATTTCTCTTCCCAATGTTGTATAATTTTTTTAGTGAATCTCCATGCCTGAAGAATCTATAATTCTTGATATTTTAATAAATACTAGGGATATAGCCAAAAAGAACATAAATCTTTAACATACATTGCTTGATCCAGAGTCATGCTAACAATCCTGTTGATGTCAGTTTAAATTGCAACAATAATGGGACAAGCTCAAATCATATGAGTTGATGTTCCAACTACTAAATTATCATCATCATCATCATCATCTTTTTTCTTTCAACGATCGCTTCTAGAGGAGACGATCTTTAGAGTGACATCTTCGCAATCCGTCGGCTCGAGTCATTCTCCCCCAACCTGGCGTCCTCTGCATGTATTGGATAGCAGCAACAGACCGCTGACTGTGCCCGCTGCAGGCGATGGGTACTGTAGTCGAAGACACGTGGAAAGGGCACCAGGTTGGGGAAAGATGGGCCTTGACTATCGGAAGACTCTCTCTGTCCCAGAGAGCAAACCGCTCTTATTTCTTCTCATCGCTCGCCCACTGCGGAAATAGCTTCTTTCTAGCAATCCGGCCTTCCTTGTTTACAGGCTAAATCAACTTTCGAGTGTTTTCTAGGAAGTTCTCTATTGACTTTTCTCCCTCGCCATTCCCCGCCCTGAAATTAGGGGAAAATAGTTGCTTTATCAGCCTGCACTGTCCTAAGTAGCCGAGCGAACAGCGACTGCCCTGCTTTTGGCTCCGCCGCCGCTCAGACTCGCGAGCGAGGAAAGCGGGCACCGCGCTACGCCTGGCGAGCTGAGCGTTTGGCATTCGGAGTCAGTCCTTTGTCTGACCTCAAACCCCGCAAAGGCGACTCGAATCCGTCCAGCCAAGCCTTCGCGGCGCGCGCGGTTCCTACTCAGGGCCAAGCTTTGTGCAGAGCTGCAGAGTGTTAATCCCATAAACGCGATTTAATTACCAGGAGGCTAACTGGGAGCCGCAATTGGTTAACTCATTAGCAGCTGTTGGCTTGACGTCCGCCGCGCTTCCCGCCTTCCCCAGGCCTCGGGGAGCGGGGAGGATAACCGAGGGAGCGGGCTGGGGTGCCCGCGGGAGAGTCTGAAAGGAAAAGGCTCGCGTTTGAACGGGCCCGTTTTACGGTGCAGCCGGTCTGGTCTCGGCGGCGCCGGGTTCAGGCCCTGTTGGCCCAAGAGGTAGTGGTGGGACTTTGTCCACCGAAGCAGCAGTCGATTCTTAAGAACTGCTTCTTAAGAATAGAAGGATTTTGGAATCGTTTTTGTAAGGATCCTAATTGGAAAGGTAATGCGGAAATGTTTTGGTTAAAAAAAAAGGCATAAAGGTCAAACAATGGCGTGGCAGATATTTAACCAAAGCTTCCCTCAAAAATGATTGTATTCAAATTTTTTAAAAAAGATGTTAGATTTATCTCCCACCTTTGTTTTGCACTACTCAGGGTGGCATACATGCTTTATAAAGAAGCCTTTATTAAGGAGGATGCTATAAAAAGAAGTAATGAGATGTAATATTATCGCTGTTTCTTGCTTCCTTTTTTCATGCAGTCCTGCCTCAGTATGCATTAACTGATTCTATAGCAAGCTGAAATACATCATTTCAGACTATATCACTAGTTGTAATGCTTCCCCAAGCAGGTAATAAAGAAACAATTTTTCCCCCCCAAAGACATATCTTGTTATGAAGAAAGTGTCCATTTGCCATCTCTCTGGATCCCCAAACAAACTGCATGTGGGACTAACTTGATGAAATGTTCCATTTAAAAACAGTAACAATTCTGTACACAGAAAGTAGCATGTTAAGAATTCTGAGGAGTTCCATCTGTAGGGATTCTACAATAGGGCCTTCTCAGTGGTGGTACCCTTCTCTTGGAATAACTTACATATACAGAGCAGCGCTTCCCTGATGAGTTTCCGCAGAGAGTTGAGAACCTGGCTGTGGGAGAGAGCATTTGGAAGGAGTCAAGTTTGGAGTCTGCCCCTGTTGGATTGTGCCATTTTGGTTTACAATGTTTTTAGTTGGTAGTGTGGTTTTTAATCACTGTTTCTGTGGCATGCCACTCAGTCCTATGGGGTGGAGCAGCATAGAAATGTCAGTAATGAATACAGATCTAAAATTAGTAGGAAAGCAAGAGCTTCATTTTTTTCCATGTGGCTACAGTTATTTGCTAGCCAGAGCACAAGATTCCACAAGATATTCCCACACATACATAGACCTCTAAGGAGATGCCTAGGACTGGATCAGAACCCTCTGACAGAGAAGGCATCATGGAAATGGTTTCCTTGCTCTCTTCCCCCAGCAACTCCCGGAGCTGAGGGAATGTCCTAAGTGAGATAGATGGACTCTAGGGAGTGGGGAAACTCCCCAAATTAGGCAAGCTGTCTTTGTGCTTTAGCAAAATTAGATGCAACTTTAATTTTAGCCCATCAGATGTGTAACTTAGTCTTTGATACAGTCTGAGTTCTGCTATCAGGCTTCTTGTGTGATCTTAGCTCTTGGAGAATTTTGAAACATCAGTACTTGCCTTCAAACCTGTTCCTGAATCAAAATTGCATTCAGCTTTTTCCAGCTCTGCAGATTTTAGGCTTTGCTTGAATACTGTATATGTAAATCCTTAGTAGTCCCTAAGATCTGCACTGTTATTCATTTTGTGTATTTATGATGCACAAAAGCAGCTACTGCCTTTTAAAAGAAAGACAGGCTACAAAGGCAGAAAACAAACAAAACAAGCCATAAACCACAGTTGAACAAGATCTAGACAGGAGCAGCATGTGCAACAGAAGCAGAAATAGAAGCAACCGCAGCAAACTGTCCTGGGTCACACCAGTTTTGATTTAATAGTGACATCTCTACAATTTTAAACTGGGTGAAAGCAGTTTATGGACTTCTCAAGAACAGTAAAAACCATGGTTTGTGGAAGTGACTGAGAATGTGTGGTAAGAAATTAAAAACTGTTACTCTAGAAATTTTAAGTTACTCTGGTTTCCTGAGAATTGTAAATTTGTGAAGGTACTGAATTTTATTGTTATGGACTGTACTGTGTTAAGGAATCGATTTCAAAATAATTTTAAAAGATCTGCTGGGTGAACAAACTATTTAGGCTGCAGTCTTATAAATGAATATCCTAGGAACATAGCTAGGATTTTTCCATGGTGCCTTATATTTCCTGCAATTTTCTTTACATTCATGACATTGGAATTAGCAGTATGCCCAATTCTGGACTGCATCCTTCACCTGCTGTAGTATGACCTCTACGTATTTCCTGTACTTCTAATTCCAAAGATTGCAAACATGAGTTAATAGCGGATAAGACACCCTTGTTTCTGCTTTCATATCAGGTTGGACAGAAAAAGGGAATCACATCTTTCCAGGTGGATTGGATAAACAAGCAGGACCAACTAATCTTCCTC